AAAAAAAGTCAAGGAAGCTGGTCTAAAATATAGCTGGTATGATCTTCCCTTTCTTTACACACTTCTTAGTTGATCTGCATGAGACTGCAGCTATAGAAATCTAGATATCCTCCGGCAAAAAAGACAGTTGCGGTTTTTTTTGTTTTTTTGTTTTTTTTGAGACAGAGTGTTGCTCTTGTCGCCTGGGCTGGAGAGCAGTGATGCGATCTTGGCTTACTGCAACCTTCCCTCCCAGGTTCAAGTGATTCTCCTGCCTCAGCCTCCGAAGTAGCTGAGATTACAGGCGCCCACTACGGGCACCCACCACCACGCCCAGTTAATTTTTGTATTTTTAGCAGAGATGGGGTTTCACCAAGTTAGCCAGGCTGGTCTCAAACTCCTGACCTCAGGTGATCTCCCCGCCTCACCTTCCCAAAGTGCTGGGATTACAGGCATGAGCCACCGTGCCTGGCTGGTTGCATCTGTTTTGATGTTAGAATAGATAGTCAAGAAAGAACATAATCAAATACAAGTGCAGCCAGCAAATATTTTTCTTTTTTTTTTTTTTTTTGCCTCAGCCTCCTGAGTAGCTAGCACTACAAGTGCACACCACTAAGCCAGGCTAAACAAATCCTCTTAATTAACATTATTATAGCCTAATGTTGCTAGAAACTATTTGCAAGCCTGTTCTGGGCAATTCATTAAAATATTCCAAGTTGATGATTGTTGAGGGTTGATTTAGTAAGTTTCAGTAGTATTTTTGAAAAAAATACTATTTCTTGAGTATAAGAGCAGGAATTTTCATTGCAAAAAGTCTGGACAATTTTTTAAAAGTATTAATTACCACTGATAGAGAATATGTCTTCATTTGGGCACACCATAATTTATTTAACCTATTTCGCTTGCTTCTAAAGTTTATTACAAATGTTATTGAAATGCAAAGCTGTGCCCACAAATCACTGTGTGTCTTTTATAACTATTTCCTTAGGATAATTTCTAGAAATGAAATGACTGAATTAAAGCATGATACTGTCACATTGCCTTGTAGAAATACTGGATTAATTTATACTCCCACCAACATGTGTTACAGTGGCCACATTAATGCCCATGCTCAGGTATTTCCACTAAAAAATATTTTTACTAAATGAATAAGCAAAACAGAGTGTTCTCATTGTTAGGAAAGCCATTTACATAAAACAGCTTAGCGTCACTTATCTATTGGATGGCTCAACCAATAGATATTTGGATATATAAGCTATTGCTATAATTTAAAACAAAATTTTCTTCCAAGTTATTTACCCTTAATTTTTATATCAAGTCCTTTTGAAACAATCATATTAATAATCCATTTATTAATATTCTATAATGATGGCTTTGTTACAAAAAACATTAAAAAGTATGCACTTACTAAAACAGCTAG